AGTTTAAAGCCCGCTGGAGGAGATCAGCCAACCTAGAAGAGAACACACGCTTATCTTCGGGGGAAAGGTGAAGCCTATCCCACCCAAGCACGTCTCTCGTCCTGATGTGTGGGTCATTGTCTAGAAAGCCGAAGCCCACCTCAAGACACCATTCCCGAAGCCGCAAGCTGACCTCTCTGATGCAGGTCTCGTGTCGTCTTCCACGTCCGCTCACTGGTAGGACAGAATTGAATACCACCTGTGCCCCTATCTCCTGCAGCATGCCCCCCAGAGTGTGGTAGTCCATCATCAGGTGATCAGGGCTTCTCCTGGCCACATCATTAGTGCCCACATGGATAAGGACCATGGGGTAGTAATCAGTGGGCCGGATCATGGCTTAGATCATCCCCATCACATCCTGAATCTTTGCTCCAGGCAGGCAGTAGACCTCACATGTCGAGGGGTCCTGGCGACAGATGGGACCCTCTGTACCTCTCAGGATGGAGTTACCTATGACGATCACTCAACGTTTCCTCCTCTGGGTCTGCTTAGCACCTTCAGCCTGTTCAGAGTGTGGAGAGTGTGGAAAGTGTGGAGTTGCCTCCTCTCCGGTTGCCTCTTCTCCTGCAGTGTTGCCAGGGCCTCGTGCCTGTTCTCCAGACAGACTGGAGGAACTGGCACTGCTTTGCTGCGAGCAGCCCTGGCTCTGGAGGGGACAATCTGCCACTCTGCTGTGGAGGGCACCTCCCAGGGTTCTTCTTCCTTGGATGCATGGCCCTGCAGGGAGAGAAAATATCCATCAATTTCATCCTCCACCTCCCCAATTCCCCTCAGCCTGCTAACCTCCTCCTGGAGCTCCCTCACCTGCACCTCCGGGGCCCTAAGATGGGCACCTGCAGGACAGGTGTGGGGGCCCCCAATCCTTGCCCCCCCCCGGCCCTGCTGGGCATCCCCTGCAGGCCAGGGGGCAGGGGGATGCCAGCTCCCCCATGGGCTCTGTCTGGGTGGAGGCCTCAGACAAGCCCCAGGTAGGCGACGGCCCCTGGGCAGGGGCCCTGGCAGCACTCCGTGTCAACACCATTTTGTAAGTTGCTATTTATTTATAATTTTGTGTGGTGCCTTTGCCCTACCCTTGCTGGAGTCTCCCTCCTGGCCCTTCCTGCTCGCCCACCGGTGCAAACGCCGGCGTGCTCTGTTAATGCGGCATGGCTCAGGAGCATGGCTCCCTACCGGCTCAACTAAAAGGGATCTGGGGGACTTCCCCTCCAGATCTGGCTCAGCTGTGCTGGCTCCCTCTGCCCCACTTACCTTTGAGGGATCAGCTTTTGCTTCCCCTGCTGCTGGCTCTGCTGTTGTGTCCGCCTCCGCCTCAGGTAAGGGGGCACACACGTGCCCAGTTCCCTCCTCTCCTCCCTGCTCCTGGCTCCTGAGTGCCAGGGGCTACGTCAAACCATGGCTTTTAGATGCCATGGTTTGAATTTCCCGCGGCTGCCCCAACAGCCAATCAGGCACTCCGGTCTTCCCGAGGGTTAGCCCCCGGGGTGCTCCCTAGCCTGTGGAGACAGTCCCCCCAGCTCTCCCCCTGTTTGCACACTCTGTTCGCGTGGCGCAGCTCGGGAGCGTGGCTCCCTACCGGCTCAACTAAAAGGGATGCTTCACTGCAGAGCTAATTAGTCAACTGCAGTAAAGTGCATGTGTAGACGCCCCTCCAGTGTAAACATGAGAGCATTTACTTAGTGATGGAGGCTGCAGAGTAGGCTGCACACTGGCTGGGCAAGTATATGGCTCTGCCCCTGTGTACCTGGGAGAGTACAAACCAGGCAAAAAAGCATGGGGAGGACTATGGGGAGAAAGGAGGTACCTCCCATATCTTAGCTCCAGTAACTGAGTGGTTAAGACACTCACCCAGGAAGCCAGAGTCCTGCTTTCTAGATCCTCCGTGGTTGAGAGAGCCTGTAATTCTGACTTCCCATTCCAGTACTCTAGCCAGCATGCCACAGACATAATCCAGGCCCTTCTCCAGCCCTCCTTGTGAGCCTGAGCCACTGTCCCTTGCATTTAATAGTCATTGGATAAAATAGATGAAGAACAGTACAGTGGGGAAGTTTCCACTGAGCAGGAACAAGGCTCTAGGTCTATTCCAGGCCAGTATCCAGCCACCCGCCCTCGCTTTTGTAGTTTTCCTCCTTACACTATATAGCTCCCCCTTCTAGTTGCCAAAGGGGAGAGGGCTGGAGAAATGACTGGATAACAGCTGATCGGTAGCCCGGTGGCTATAATATTATACTGGAAGTAGGTTCAAACTTGCTGTAGTGAGGGAGTCCTAGAACCTGGATCTTTCATTTCCTGAGCAACTGCCCATCTACTCACTGGCTTTGATGAAGAGCTTTGATAAGGAATACAGCTGCCCTAATCACTCAGTTATTAGGCTAAAATGAAGGAGAGCACCTTTCCTTAGTTTTCTCCTGACTACAATTTTGGAACTTACAGGGCATGTCTACATGTGTTGCATAAATTGCTGATTTTATCCCCTGGAGGCTAGTCCAATTCACCTCTAGAAGAGAGTCACACTTTCAGGCTGGATCCAACTCTATTTTATTGCTTGCAAGCAGGCCGACAGAGGAGCTTGTTGCTCAGATCAGTGTCGACCCTAAACAAAGAGCGCACGTGGCTTTTATTGAGCTAGCATTTTTTTCAGTTGACGTGTTACATTTTGATTGGTCATTTCAAACCAAAACCTGAGCAACCTATAAG